GTCACAGAAGAAATGAGGAATTTCCACATCTGAGCAGAAGGTAACTTGTGACACTATCATGCGGTGCATCTGGGAGTTAAAAAGACTGAGGAGAAAAGACACCAGGACCAACAAGCCACAGAGGTGGGGGCTCATGATGACTGGGTATTGTAGGGGGTAACAAATGGCCACCAATCTGTCATAGGCCATCACAACCAGGAGTAGATTGTCCAAACATACAAAAAGTAAACATCCAAGAAAATAAAAAAAGGACAGTTGAGTGAGGCAGCCTGCATAGGAGATGGATTTGCTGTGTGTCTGTATGTTCATCAGCATCTTGGGGATTGTAGTGGTGCTGAAACCCACATCAGCCAAGGACAGGTTGGAGAGGAAGAAGTACATGGGTGTGTGGAGGTGGGAGTCAGAGCTGACGGCCAGGGTGATGAGGAGGTTCCCAAGCACTGTGACCAGGTAAATGTGCAGGAACAGCCCAAAGAGGGCAGGCTGCAGTTCCAGATCATCTGAAAATCCCAGGAGGAGGAATTTTGAGACAGTTGTTAGATTCTGTGGTTTCATGTTGCTGGGACACCTTATGATAAAGAAGAAAGTGCTGGAATACACAAAAGAATTACAGAGGCACCTAACTAAGCAATTTCCAAGTAAAGTATTCACACTTGAGGACCATACACCTCGGTACTTTCAGCATTATCTCTCAGGTGTGAACTCTTCTTAAAACTCTTTTTAAAAATGTGTTCACTTATTTTTAACTGGCATGTAATAATTCTACATATTTATGGGGTCGTATATGGGTTCTAAAAAAGTCAATCTCATTGAAGTAGAAAGTAGAGTAGTGGTTACCAGGGCCTGGGAAGGGGACGGGGAGAGGAGGTTGGCGAGAGGGTAGTCGACGGGTACAAAGTCACAGTTAGGTAGGAACAATAAGTTCTAGTGTTCCACTACACAGTCGGGTGACTACAGTTAACAGTTATATGTTGTATATTTGAAAATAGCAAGAATGGAGGATTTTGAATGTTCTCACCACAAAGAAATGATAAACGTCTGAGGACTATTTTCTTGTTGGTGTCTGCTCTTTACTTGTTTCTAGACACACACATTTTGGAGACCCTGAGCCCAGAAGGGC